CATGAACACAATAGTATATTCGCGACACTACAAAATACAGTGAAAGCTACTTCGAATGAACCGACTGATCACAAGACGCTGAACGAACAGCTATACACTCATCCCACATCATGACATGGTGCTTACTGATGACAAACACCTTCCAAATACTTTCAGGCTTCCATGTGTTACCTGGTCCGCATCACACAACAAATAAATTCCTCAAAATCTGTTGAAACAATGTTAAAATCAGCTCCATTTTCTACTGTTCGACAATAATCCACAACATAATCCAATCAACTCAAAACCACCTTGGTCACTGCCATCCAGTAAAACTGATCATGCATTTTCGATCTGACACTTAGTACTTGTTCCAATTTATTCATTTATTTATGAATTCAACACCACTTCATAAATTCACGAGAATTAATTTCATTTGATTTTAGCCATTATCGTGGACTCGAATTAATGGAAGCAGACAAGTTGTTTTCATGAAAGTGTAGAATATTTTCTACACGTTTTAGTTGTTGACAAGATGTGATGACATTTTGACTCTGATAAATGCCTGCTTTTTACTTCTTGCAAACTAAAAATAGAGCTAATTGATTCAATGTTTACTTCTTGCTTTCTTATTGTTTGAAATCCGTTTAAAGTTTTGCCTTTCAAAGCTGATGTTGTTAGAGAGTGAAAAGTGTAGTCACATTAGTGTGTAGAGATCTCTCGACATTTATGGGATTTTTAATGAGTTAGTAATTAAAGTAGAATAACGTTGGTCAACGGTTTAGCATTAATATAAACGAATAATTTGAAAGTTTGTGTAAAATTTTATGATTAAATATGTCATTCTAAAATAGAAATAATTCTTACATCTGCATAGCAATATACGTTGATCTGGATACTGGTATTAGAAGACGTAGATTAACTGAAGATATGATGTATTTGAGAAATACTCCTTGAACAATCTGATCACACATTTACTTGTCAAGTAAATTTATATGTAAAATAAAGATCAATTACGTACACAAAGTGACAAGAATAACTTAAATATAGTGAGAATAATTAACTCTACGTTTGTTATCGTGATGGGTTACGATTAATAATAAATTGTTTCTGTATACAAAGGAGTGGGGGAGGCTTAAGTTTGCGAATGCTACCGCCTCACTGTATTTCAATAAGCGCTCTTGACCATTTCTATAAATAACCTTAAAAGCTGTTGTGACATCAATCTACCGGTTCATATCGATTTGGTGTCTAGCTATAGACGAAGTTAGTAGTCTATCGCCTGCGTCTGTCGATTTTTCAGAGTCCATCTGTTTTCCTAACCATTTCAAAATATGTTCTCTCACCCTCACATGCAAAGCGCGATTACTCCTTCCTATGTATGTCGGTTGTGGCATAGTCACTTGCGCACTTTTGAGGTTTATAGTGGAGCATGTTTCTGGCTTTTTCAATAATTGTAAGCCAGAGTGCATAATGAGTTCTACAGATGACCGAGTTTAGTCCCTGTCTGTGAAGGATTGACTACGAAAAGTGATTAGTATGTAATAAATATAAATGATACAGGAAAGTGTCAGAAAGGTCAATGATGTATAAGGATAGTGAGAATAGATTAGAAATATCCCCATCCTTCGCTATAGATGTGAATGAGAAGTTGCATAATCCATTGCCAGTGGGTTGGTTTCTCATAAAATCTCACTACGGGTACATAAGGCTCGTTTCGCATATGCCAGTTTACGCCGTGTCTGGCGTAGACATAATATCCGACTGGCTGACAACCAAAGGTTGTGTGTACTGGTCAGCAGTCTGCTCCGTCCTCATTTATGACTGTGAGACATGGCCATTGTGAGTGTAAAACATTAAAAAACCACTGTGAATTGTTGGTATTAGATGGTTGGAGGCAATCGGCAGGAAGCCTTGGACCTAGGTTTCGTGCTAGTTGGCACTCATCACCAAGGCGTATCTGCAACCTTGAAGGAACTGATGTCCCTTCTGAGATTCGAACCCGCGTCACCCAGTGCTGCAGTCTGAGACGTTACCACTGAGCTATTCAGGCTCGCGACTGACCTCCTGTAGGACTGTATTGGATATGTTTGATTGCACACTAGTCAGTAACTAGTGTTATGCGTCTAGTCCTATCTTCGGTGCAGACAGGAGGTCAGTCGCGAGCCTGAATAGCTCAGTGGTAACGTCTCAGACTGCAGCACTGGGTGACGCGGGTTCAAATCTCAGAAGGGACATGTGTTCCTTGAAGGTTGCAGATACGCCTTGCTGATGAGTGTCAACTAGCACGAAACCTAGGTCCAAGGCTTCCTGCCGATTGCCTCCAACCATCTAATACCAACAATTCACAGTGCACCGTAATGGCGAGCCACCTAGCATGGTGGCCACATTGCAAACATGAATGATAGAATTCAGTCTGCACCGAAGATAGGACTAGACGCATGACACTAGTTACTGACTAGTGTGCAATCAAACATATGAAAAGACCAGCTAGCTGTCTTTGATCATACGTGTCTGCGTTCTATTCACCGTTTGAAGTGGTATATTATTATTATTGCTTCCTTTAGTTCCTAGAGGAAAATAGGGCTTCAGTCACACGTCTCCATTGCGTTCGGTTCTCCTCCAACGTTTTCACCTGGCTCCACATCTGCCCACATGCTTTCATCTCCTCTTCATATGACATCCTCCATGTCACCCTCGCACTGACGACCAACTCACCGTTTCCCATTCGGGTTACACTCGAGGCCCTGTCTTCTGATGTCACTTGATAGTTTTCTCAGAGTATGGCCAATCCATCTCCATTTATTCCTGCTTATTTGTTGCACAATCGGTTCCTGGTTAGTTCGTTCGTTCCCATCTGATCTTGAGTAGCGTTGAGCGAAGACAGCTGTTGATGAAGGTCTGTAGTTTGTCTGAGGTGCTCTTCATGACGCGCCAAGTCTCTGATTCATAAAGTAGCACTGACTTCACATTGGAGTTGAAAATCCGATCTTATTTTCCATGCTGAGTGCTGTTGACCTCCACACAGACTTGAGAGTAGTCAAAGCTTGTCTTGCTTTTCCAATTCTTGCTTTGATATCCTCGTCAGTTCCGCCTGTAGTTGAAACGATGCTTTTCAGATCGGTAGGTAAAGGAGATTGCTTCTTTCAGGTTCCTCCCATTTACGCTGATTATTGTCTGTTGTTGTTGTTGCTGTTGACCGGGAATCTTCATCACCTCTGTTTTCTCTATGTTCACCTGAAGTCTTATCTTTATGCTTCTCCTGCCAACTTGTTGCTTTTCACTTGGTATAATAGAGTAAGCGATATTGAGGTCAGGCTTCGGTCAAGTGCTAGGTAAGCAGGGGTGATCAGTAGACGAGGCCGTGAAGTTACATGAATTGAGATGGTTAGAACGTGTTTTAAGTATACCTAGACATCGCCTTCCTCGACTGACGGACAATGTTAGCTGATAAAGGATGGATCCGGTTGGAAAAGGACCAGTGGTGGTCAAACTAAAACGTGGCTTCATCAGTCAATGAAACCCACAACAGTTAGTTTAAGCCAGACACGTAGGAAGGTGTAGACTTCCTGACTGGTTGGGGTCCTCAGGATGCCAAAAACCAATGAAGGCTGGAGAAAATTAGTGATATGGCTCAAAATCGTTCTCAATGGCTGGTGCAGATGCATCCACTCCTTGTGACTTATAATATCCAATGAAACTATACTGTTCTTCGTCATTACTTTTTTTCCTGTCTCATATCTCTGTTTACTGTCTCTATTTTGCGTTTCTTTTTACTTTCTTCTCTGGCTTTGTGTTCTGAGTGAAGTGTGGCGACACGAACTGCTGCACATCGGTGCAAATTTGTATGTTGAAACCAGACAGAGAGATGTGAATGACAACCCCTACATGAAACTTAACTACGTCTGCATAGTCATCATGTATTTAATGATGTTAGCCAGTTGCAATGAACAGCACAGAACCCATATGAGAACCCAAGAAATAATAAGCAATAAAAACTGAATACTGAGTGTTTATTCTACGCATATTCACCTTGAAAGTGTGCTATCACAAAATTACACCGACAACTAACTTTTAAAGTACAAAGCCTGAAAAGTAGTTTCTAAGTACAACCGAACGACCTTAAGGAACCAGTCGGAGTGGATGGCTGAAAATACTGGCAAACTTGTTCACAAAATGTAAATTTAAACCCATAGGGTGAATTTACAGAAAAACAATCACCACCAAGTACCTTGCATGAACCAATCACATTACTGATCACAAATGCTGTGTATATCCTGCTTTCACACTTGGTTGCACGACTAAGTGGTTATGCAATTTTTTAGGCTTAGGTGTTATGGTGAATAATAAATAATAATAATGGCTTTATTCCAAACGAAGGTATTGATTGGAATAAAGTTACCACTACATTATTAAACTAGTGTATTAATGTATGATTGTTATTACTATTATTACTATCGTTTACCCTAACAATTTAACCTGAAGAAATTCTTAACCAGAAAATATTTTAAATCCAGATAAGCATCATACTAACTGTCAAAGCAGAAGGTACACTATGAGATTGATGGTGGCTGTTAATACTCCGAGGTATTACCACACCGCGCTAATACTTCAGAGAGCACTAATGTACCGATGAGATGTTTCCTAACTGTGACCCACATATTATGTCACAGACTCTCGAGATGTTTGCTGTAAGTGTCAACACACTTCATAAAAAAAACTATTTTGGTTCAGACAGGAGAACAGAACACTTGAATTTTTATATGCAGAATCCACCATCAGGTGATCTTTTTTTTAAATAAGTAATATTGTAACAACAGAAGACAAGTGCCAGGCAACAGAACGTTTATTACGGAAAATCAACACGTATTTATAGATTTTCATGTACATTATTGTAGGTTAATGTAAGTAGAAAATACAGTCTGTTGATTGGTTGTTTCTCACACAAAGTTAACCTTGCATCTCTTGTGGCTGTGTCAGTTCATCTATATGTTAACTGTATCCGCCTGTCCATCTTGACCTTGACCTCAATTACTGTCAACCAATTGGCTAGTAGACAGCTCTCACCACAGTATCATCTGTCAGTGTATGGGAGACATCTCATTAAAAAAGACTGAGGTCAATTATCTCCGGTTCGTGTTCATGGTGGATTTAAATAAGAACAACATTTTCCATAGAAAGCCAGGCAAAACAACAATGGAAAAGCCATAATGCTCAATGAAAGCATATATATATATATAACCATGTACTAAAAAGAAAAAAGGACCGAAAACTCTACTACAAGCTCTATATACATAAAATAATACTATACATATCATGCAGTCTGGTCAATATTATATTACATTATTCTAAAATTTTGAAGTGTTAAACTCCAAAATCTTCTGGAAATATCATATATACCAAGAAATATTGCACCTCCAAAAGACAATAAAATCACTCGGGGTACCAAGCCGGAGAATAGCCTGAAATGAGAGGAAATTAAAACAACAAAAAACCAATTTTAAAAAACATAGTTCTGGCTCATTTCATTGAACACACAGAGAAAAATCACTGGGTTTTTTTCTTTACTTGAAACTTTATACTTGCTTTCCACATATTTATTTGAAAGGCGAAACATAAAAGTGATCTGAACTAACATGTAACTGCTATCAGTAGACATTCAAAGCATGAAACGATATGAAACATTTTTAAACTACTCATGAATTATTTTTAACAGTGGATACATTATCCTTTCCAACCTTGAAAAAAGCTATCAGTTGGTTGAGCAACCTAATATTTAAAGGTTTTAAAATCAAGTTTCTAGTTAGACTCGTCGGTATCAGTTACCCAAGAACCACACCAGGTAATATTACAAGAATTTGCAGTGGTCATTCAACAAAAATATACATGCTCCCCTATGATTCCTTGGAGTTTGTGATGACTTCGCCGGAGTGCCAGGTACACATATCAAGCCTCCGCCTTCCCAGATGAGTAATTTTAGCTGAAGTAGAGCTCGATTAGAAAAGTTTGATATATATTGCCAAATCAAAATACAATACAGACCGACAAAGGCTTCGACTGTTGATCTAAGACACATACGAAAGTTTATATTGTCTGAACAGATTCATCAGTATGCTAAGAATTAATGATTTGAAACTCACTGTGACACTGGTGCAGATGTACCTGTTCCACATCACATCAACAATCCGAAGAGCCTCACTTATCTTCATTTAATTATTCCCATCCTAGTTTGCCTACAAACAGCAATATTCTGTTTCTGTTTTCTTATTTCGTATACTTTCTCAAAGTGCTACAACTTCAAATAATGTAATTTCGAGCAAAGTTCTACGTTGATCTAACAGTTAGTTTCACCGCAAAAAGGCAGCCGACTAATTGTGTTGTAACAATTGAGAGAAATTAGTGAATGCAGTGCATTGCGCTTGACAATCATAATCGCCTGGCACTATTCTGATGACTGCTAAAGATAAGAATTCCCGGAGTGTTTACTCTAAAATTTCTTATCAGAAATAACTCAAGTACCCATTTCTTTTATTCCTTCACGTTCCCAGTGAAACATTGGGCTTCATGCTGGAGGCTTGAAGTTTAGGTAGCAGTGGTGTTTATTTTTACGGGATCGGGTTGCTAGCCTCATGTTCAACCTTCCCTCTTTGCCGGCCCTACTACCGGCTTAGCCAGGTAAAGGAGCGCATGGGCCGGAGATCGAACCCTGGACCACATGCATGGTCGGCGGGCATTTTACCACTGTGCCACCGACGCACCAAGTGCCCATATGGTCAAATAAAATAAAACTAAAAATTAAATAATATAACTTATCTAAATCACTGTAATAAATCGTAAAACCGGAGTACTACAGAGAAATTTGTATCAAAGAATACTAAAATCTATTCTAATCTCTACACTATTTGAAACAATATACCGAAAGAATTTGAAAATAAAACGAACAGCTTACCCACGGATTCCATTCTCTTGAAACACTGTTCGCATAGCATATAAAACATGACCTGATGCAAGTTTAGAATTCGACTACAAAATGGAGAAAATTAGAATGTGTATTGTCTTGATATGATAAAAAACTAAAATGAAAGAGAATATTAACTATCTCTAGTTTTCTCTGCATAAGCCGAAATGGAAATCGTTCAAGAAATGTTATGCATTAGGAATGAATGTAAAACTCCAGTTACTGTAGCCTTTCGAATATAAAGACGCGATACGCGTGTAAATGGCAAAGATACTGAATAGTACTGAACAGTTTATTGACTAAAATTCTCTCAGTCGTGACCAGTAGGGTGCAGCAGGTAGGGTGTCAGGACAAATACTCGCCGAAGACATTGGCTAGTGGTTGCGCTATATCGTGAATTGGCAGAAGTTAGAATTCATGGGCCATTGGATCGGGCCCCAGTGGCTTAGTGAACTACGAGCTCGTCTTGTAACCAGAAGGTCCTGGGTTCGAATCCTAGTGGTTGCGTACTGATGAAGAGTCCCAAATCAGGGCGAAACAGCTGTCCAGTACTCCCAGGTTTTTCAATGGCTCTCTAACCAATGTCACCTCATGATGAAATCCTGTAACCAATCAACCAAATCCCTACAAACCAATACTTGAAAGGCATATATAATGGGTAACGATTTATACAACCGCTTTTAATGAAAATTATATATATATATATATATATATATATATATATATATATATATATATATATAAGTAATGAGAATACAGTTTATGGAAAAGGCAGATTGGACGAAAGAGTATTTACCAGCTGGTCGATGGATAGTAACCAATCTAGTTTTCTAGACATAAGTATCGCTTAAAATCTGTTGAGTACCGAGACCTCTTAACTGTACTCATCTGTTGACATTCTACAGCAACACCTGGTATCAGGGAGCATTAGAGATAAGCGCTATTCATTTGGAAATCGTATATAGTACCTCAAAACTAGTGCAAATAATTGTCACCAGAAATACAAGCTAGTTTTAATAGATTTCATATTGCACCCTGTGATGAATTCATCAATTGTCACCTTCTTTTGAACAGTTAGCAAACAAACGTCAGAGGATCACACTTCTTTAGATAGAACGGAGAAACTGTCTGATCTAATGACTTAGGCCAATATCATAGATGCCTTCGAAATCAAAAGCAGAATAAATCATGCTGTCTTTATTTACAGACTTTTACTTTTGAAACAAAAATATGAAATTAACAAGGGCTTATTTGCCTTCTTTGAATAATCTCTTATTAGCTGTGTTTATCTCTTGTGGTTATGTTATATAATGAGGTTCACTTTTTGGTGTCCAAGTCGCAAATGAAAACGTACAAACGCAGAGGAGGTAGAATAAATAGTAAACTAACCTCTGCTAGCATGATTCTGGTTTTCGCCACATCTAATGGTGTAGTCACAGCGCCAGATATTGTACCTGCTAGGCATCCACAAAGAGCTGATTGCCAGGCCTTCAAATGGAAAACTGATGGATCTGCAGTGGGATCACCTCCAATTGTCTTTCTGTTCCACTCCATAGTTACCGACTGAAAACAATTAATGCGGCTGATACATATTAAAGATAATCGTTTGGAATAATGTAAATAAATAAAACAAATCAAAATTCATCTGAAATTCTTTAGAGTACCATTTCAAACATAATAGGATAAGAGTATACTCATCACGTTAAACGATTGCGCTATTGTCTACAATACAACACTAAGATCCCGCTTAAATAGCACCTACATTCTGAAAGTTCGATTCGGTTGTGACTTTTGTCGAGAGAACGTTGAAATTTTCGATGAAAACAAAAGACCAGTTGACAACTAACATAGAAGTCTCAATTTCGAATATCATTACTTCTACATGTTTGTTATTGAAACTATCTGAATTTGTCTTGGAGTAGTTCACTAGTATTTATGCGTCACTAGTTCAATGGTTGAATACTCCCCAGCCATGCGGGAGGTCCGGGTTTGACTCACAGCTGACGCATCCCCAAAGCACAACTAGTCAATAAGTAGGTCCGAGAGAGAGAGGGGGACGTCGTGTGCAAGGCTAGTGACCCCACCCCACAGAAAACACCATTACTGAAACTCTGTTCCACTTAAAACGCAAGGAATAGTGATGTAAGTGATATTTGTGGTCAAAATTGAAGCATTTGAATGACAAACTGCTAGGTTACTGACTCAGTGACTGCTCTACAACGGCCAGCCATTAACACAGTTTTCATTTCACCTTGATCACTGTCACAAAAATACCAATCAGCTAGAAGAGTCATTATTGTAGACAAATTGAATATCAATTAATCATCAGTCCTCCCCCCTTAGTTTACCTGTGACTGGAAATGAAATGAGTAAACTTAACTGGATGCCTGGCGTAATAATAAACAGAAAAGACAGGGAAATTCATGAAAGTACATGCAGATGTTTAGTTGACCAGTGAAAACGAAACTAGAGCTAAATAATTCCAAATTTACATGCATTCGCTGTTACAATGTAAACATTAGTCAACTAAGCATAGACTAATGCAGTTAACGCAATAACAACCTCTTTCCAACCGTATGATACTCCAATTGTAAGTGTGAGCAATAGCCCCTATATTTTGAATGAGACCCTCAACCAACGTTTCATGCTTACTGGAACTCATCAGCAAAATGTACCTGCTTTTGAGCAGTTCTACGTTGACAATTCAGTTACTAAGGGCTAGACATATAACTCTTATTACACGCTAGTGACCTATCGACGTATCTATTTCAGTCCTAAAGGTGGTCAGTCACGGGGACGTCTGAATGCATTGGGTCACATGAACTCCAGTTTTCGATGGAATATCAGTTCCCTGGACATTGCGAATACACTTTGCTGACAAATGCCACGGTTCCTGGTTTCCTGCGAGTTGTCATCAACCAAATAGCATCAACTGAAAATGCTTTGATATGGTGAAAATACTGCATATTTGGCTGGCGAACTTTATTCAACACCTAGGACTAGGTATAAACTACACTCTAGTGATTAAACAATGTATTATATGTCTGCAGATTAGTTTAACAAAGAACTTAAAGACTATATATTTATTTGTTTTTAATATGACTGAATAATTTAGATGTTTTCTGTTCGCTTTGAGTTCGGTACGAATGCAAGCTCAGTCTTAATTTTTAGTTGTCTCTTTGGTTTCGCACTGCTGAACGTAACGGGATTCAGCCGACCTGGGTAGAAACAGGTTCACAGTTGTACAGATTGGTCATAGTGTTGAGTGCAATGTTTACAATCTGTGTGTATATCATTACCAGTACTAATCAACAGAAAACAGATGCGTACACTTTTTTGCCGGGGGAAACAAGATTTTTCTGCTTTGAATACATCTCATTAAGCTGACATGAAAGAGCGAAGTAATAATTAGCAGATTTACCACTACAACTACCTTTCCCTAACAAGTTACAAGATTTTGAAACTATAAATGATAAAATACTGCATTATACTTGTTAACCTCAAAAGACATACTTTTAGATATTCCCATATAGGATACTGAATAAATGAAAATGGAATTTCGCGTGACAATGTGCTGATATACCCTCTGTAGAATCCTCGAACACCCTGAAAAGAAAAACTATCCAACTATAATTTCAAACAAAAACTATTAAAATAAATGAAAACAAAGTTAATTCTTATCGTCTATGCCTGTTCATTAAGATATCCCAATCTCCAGTAATCGTTAATCACCACCATTCAATGAAAGATTAGAAGCTCTAATTTTAATTTAGCGCACAACCTATAAAATAAAATAAGAAGTCAGTCATCACACCTTACAACAACCCCAATCTTGTCACTCCTTATAATTCAACCGACGGTTCAAGATGTCGAGGTGCAAGGATGATTTTCTAGATGTAGAGGCATAAAAGCGCCCGACAGTTGTAATGAGATCTAAAATAGTGGGACAGATAGATGTTGCTTTGCAATACTTAAGAAACTGCACTTGACAACACAGCAATGAAAAGCATAACGAATGTCTGAAATACACTCATATATCCTTAATTAATTTATTAATACAAAAAACTTAAAATGACGTGAAGATGTATCGAAGAAGTTTAAAGTTTTCCAAGTGAAAGTGCAGTTCTGATCAGTCCATTAACTATTACTAGTCACATGAGGATACATCATACAGATATAGACCATTTGATTATATATATATATATATATATATATATATATATATATATATATATTAGCGGAGAATATGAAAAGGCACTGGTGAATATGACGACTGTACACTGGGATCAGATCCAGCAGAGAGTTTTCGGCCCTAGAGACCAATACTATCTCCAAGCCAGAAAGTTAACAGGCACCAGGCATATAATATATTTACATTGGTAGTTTGAAGTACACAAATTCAACACTGGCAGCATTATATTAAGCGAATAACCATGTTTGAACCCATCGGGTATCTCCAAGATATAACACACCAGTGGTTCAAAATACTCGAATTCTGCCTAACGGGGCCTATTTTTTGATATGGTACACAGTGAGGACGGTGAAAACTACAATTTGTGTTAGCATTGGTTGTAAAATCAACAAGAGTTGAAGTTGTATCGAGAATGGTATTAGCAGGAGAAGAACGAAGACAGAGAAAGAGAATACGCAATTGAATACAGTTTGGGAAGAAGTGTACAATTTGAGGGTCGACATTTCCTAATTTTTCCCCTTTAAAATGACAAGGAGACATAGTATCTCTGTTGGTAGCTTAAGAGGTATACCTTACTGAAGTTATACTCTTTTGACCTAACTGTACTACTTCAAACTCATACCTCAAGCTCACACTATGACAAGAAATACTTCAACTATTACCGATATTCAACCAACCTTCCAGGAACGCTGAGACAACCTAGAACAATTGTTTCAGCCACTATACTCCCTTGCATCCATGCAATTTCGCCAGCCTAAAAAGCACACTTAAACGGCAGTTGTAGATACAATGAACCCTTGAAAGTGCTGCTATATGCATTGAATAACTCTAAGGCTAACTGCAGTAAGGAAAAGCACCAAGAGCAGATTATAAAAATTGGGACTGTAATAAGCGATGATGATAGTTATTATTATTGGTACTAGCAAAATGATGATTTAAAGACTCACTAACCTCATTGCGTAAAGTTTGCATAAACACAGTTGAAACTCCATGAGAAGGATGATTTTGTGCCCTTTGTTTCACTACCTCACATGGGACTCTTATGACACAAGCAACCTAGGAATTGCATACCAAAAATAAAAAACCTTACAACTTCAGCAATACATGCGGATATCATAGAATAATATACAGGATGCACACCGAGGTATTTGCAATTTTCTTTAACGGTTTCATAGACTACAAAAAAAGCTGCAGCTGTTGTAAGTCTCTTTAGTCAACAATAAACTAAGTTACCTGAAGGAGCGGAACCCACAATGACTGCTGGTAAACCAGCGAAAAGACGAAGAGATCCTGGTGTTCTTTGCACGTTATTACGATAACTTTGCAAACGTGTTTTAATAGTGTCGACTGGAAACAATGCAAGGTCAACACAAAGTCCAGCAGTTGAACCTGACTAAATAAGATGAGATAAAAGAATAAAGCTCACCAGTAACGAAATGACGTACGGGTTGCTACTGTTAGCATTCATGGTTGGTCAAGGGTAACAAGAACAACCAACTTTCTCACAGTATAGTTAATCTGAAAAGGTAAGGGGAAATAAATGGAAAGAATGAAATAAAGCTATTTCGTATCTTTCTGGCTAGTGTTTAATACCTAAAACGAATACTGTGATAAAAATTATAAAGCCGCGTGTTCTTAGGTGATAGGCACATTACAAAAATGACTTATGAGTAAGTTATGCTGAATTATCCTGCTCTTTCTGGTGCGCAATCGGTTTGGTCCCTAACATATACACATTTATAGGTGCTCAACAACCAGTGAATTCTGCATCAACTAACAACTCTAAGAATACGCCAGTAAAATGATTGCATCATAGTGTACGTCCTACATTCGGACTCGTGGATATGGTGGATCCTAGAAACACTTCTGTTGGTTCCCAAACACACTTACACTCTTAAGAATTAGGTTACACTGAATGACTGGTCTGGAAGATAAGTTCTAGTTCTATTCTTAAATCTCACCCAGGCTTCATGGACAGTCCCATTTGTACTAACCGAAAAGTCAATTAGGGTTATTGCATTCCGGTTTGTCGATATATCCGCTTCCTAAATGTTTGGAAGAGGAGTTTTTGTCCCATGGGCGAAGCCATAAATCTTTAAGTAAAAATTATGACTCCATGGTCACTACCGTCTAGAGGTGGAAAGCACCTAGTATCGCTTACATCCTCCTTCAGAGAGATTATATTCCCTGTCGCATCGCGCTGGTGAATGCACATACTATGCAATCGCACATTTGAGAAGTCAGAGTAAGTTTTATGTTGAAACAGGAATATACGATGGCTAGTGTTAATTCTTCCCAGTTAATTTGTGGGGAATTTAAGTCAACTACTATCAGACATCTATGCCTACCTGTCCACGCCCTCAGATGATCTAGTACGAAGTGAACAGCTTTGAGGGAAAGACTTCTTTGAATAACGTTGACCGTTACAGTACTCTTATTCAGGTTATTAACACAGCTTGCAGTTTCGCTAGTACCGATATCATGCGCTTCTGAGGACGCCGACCTAATTCCTATGTTGTGCCAGGTGTACAGAGCAACCCCGCCTTCTCTTAGAAAAAGTACTCTGTTCTAAAGCATATATACCCCGGTATGTGTGGAGTGTGGCCCACACCCACTAAAAACCATGTCTCAGTAATTGCTACATCAGGTTGTAATCTTTGAGATAATAATCCTAATTAAGGAGGTTTGGTCCTAAGACTACACGCGTTCGTTTGGAACATTGATACACATATATGTTCATTTAATTTATGAAGAGAGGTCTTCGCAACAAAGGTTTCTGAAACCTTACCACCGGGAAACCCAATATCTTAAGATCTTTTTCCCTTTTATCTAACCGAGCCTTCAATTTCACCACAACTCCCCTCCTCTTAATTTTAGCCTCCTGGGGACAATCAGGTCTTCTTCTCGACTTTCCATACTTGATCTTAAATGCGCTGTTAAGAATAACATTCTTGATTTGAGATGGTTGGAGACGCTAGCTCTACTTGACTGTTGAATTTCCGAGGCTTCTCAAGTTTCTTGATAGCAGATTTTTGAGAACACTGGACCTCTTTTGTAGGAATTTGTTTAGGGTGCAGTTCTGCAGTTTTCAATACTCAATTAGGGTATTCAATGACTGGAACTCCCTACTTGATCAAGTAATATGAGATCCTTCGGTGAACGTTTTCAGAGAAATGAGATCTCCATAAAGGTGTGTACTGGTAAGATTAGCACAAGTCACAAGAGCCCACTATGCTTTATTATATGAATCTGAATTCTTTCGCAAGCGCCCAAGCACCTATAACAGCATACATAAGAAAGTATCAAGTCCCATATGAAGCACGGATAAATACTGGCGTTGTATATATGCCATGAACTTCTGTTCTCTTACTCCTACATAATGTTCACTTGTCCTATTAATTTGCTGGTACAAGTGCCCAAATGGAAATTTTGGAGGTTACTTAAGTAACCATCATCATAAGTAGCAGTCTTTTCGTTTTGAAGTAATACTAGTCAGTGCTGAATATGAGCTGAGAAGGCTTTAATTAAGCTGTAAAAATTGCCACTATGTGCTGAATTGAGTATTTTCGTTCTAAAGTAATGCTAGTCAGTGCTGAAAACGATCTGAAAGGGCTGAAATAAAGCTGATAAGCCAATCCAGTAGGTTTTGATCAACTCCTGAAAATATCTAAAAAAAGAACACAGTGCTGAATTAGCGCTAGTCATGCTGAAAACCAGAACTGAGTTCTATTCTGTGCCATTAAACAATCCATTTCACAACAGATTTAGAATTTACTCACTATAGGATGCTAGAATTATTTCAGAATTACTGAGATTTAATTTAGAATAATATTACGCTTCGGTTGGATGCAAAGTAATGTAAAATGTTAAGGAAACTGCAACATTTCCCATATATATTTAGGGATATATCCCCAAATACACTCAAATTTTTTTTATTGCGTGGGTTAAAGTATCACAACCTCTCAGTTGTTAACTGTTTTTGACCGACAAGAGCTGTGGTTATGTGAAGTCACTGATACGTTTCAGCCACTAGCTACACACCATTCGTTGCTTCACTCACCTTGAACAAAATCAGACTAGCGTGACCAAAGCAAGCTGACCTTGAAGTGGACTTGAGTTAATCAGACAAAATGACCGTCACATAGGAGATGAAAAGAGAACGCCAGCTAGGTAAGGACGTGTATCCTGTACAAACCTGTAATAGAAAACACAGGCGGCAACAGCAAAAGAGTAGACAGCAATTTCAGAGGACCTTGAAACAGCCAATCAGATTCTTCCAGGTGAAAAGTGGTACCACCATTTATGTACGACTTAAAACTTATGCAGACTTCCTCAAATAAAGTGGTTGCATCTGAATGTATAACCATCAGTAGCACGGCGATACTTTTTCAGAGCCATTATCCCTTCGCATATGCATGTTTTTATTCCCCCCTCCCTATCAACCCAGTTCCCACAGAGGAGACGAAAACCAAGTCTAGGAGAAATTTTCGACGAGGATTATGAATTGCTCCCATTTGTAGTGCTGAGCTATCTGGTTTGTCAAATTAGGGTCATTCGACTTTGGTGTCTATTGTTCACTCTTGTCACTTGTTATCAGTAATAGCGATCTCGGTACAAAGGTGACATTAAATTTCACACGAAGCAAAAGAGCTAGCCTGATAATGTCCACCGGCCCCCAGTTTTGGAACTGGCGCTTCCCTCCACACGACCCGAACCACTACAATACTGAGATTTGAATATACCTGTTGAGTCCTCACCACTCATCAATCGTTTTGTTTTCGTTAAAATCACATCTCCTTTCGTCACAGGATTTACTCATCTGCCCTTTCTTGGAAGGAAAGGAAAGAGAACGTCGTTTATTGTTCCATCTACACAGGATTTCGTTCTCTTACATCACCTTTACCCCTCTCGAGTCACTGTCCTCAGTGCTGGTCTGTGTTATCTGATGTGCACTGCCTCCTTCGACTGGCATCTCTTGACGGCTGGCGGCAGGTCGTCATCGACGTGAGCTCAACAGTTCCTCTGAGATAGGTAAATCGTGTGGCTCCAGTTCTCTGTAATGTGCGGTGATAATGTCAGGCATTGGTTGCAAGTACCGTCAAATATATGTATTTAGTGAATGATGTTGTGCAACTTCATAAAGACTCTGCCAAGAGGTATAAAGCTTCAATCACGAGCCGGCAGGGACCGATGGACGATAACACCAAACGTACTGACCCATCAAATAGTTGGGTTTGTTCGAGAGACGACCACAGAAACTTTTCAAGTGTTATTTAGAAGAGCGTAGGTGACTGTGCACCAGATGCTAGTGAATTCCGGTCAATTGCAGGGGTCCCGAAAGTAAGCTATACTAATACCTGTATCGGCGTCTGGACCAAAAAGGAGTAAAGTGGGGAAAACCCCAGTGAAGGAATGTACTGATGAGTATGAGAGCAGGCGTTGAAGTAGGATGTCAACCTACGTGTGTTCATGTGCTTGACGAAGTAACGCAGGATGTATATTCTAGGTGGTTTTGTAAGTCCGCTCCATCAAACGACTTTCAGGTAGTTGGCATGAGGAAGTTTGATTTTTCCGAATGCAGTGAGTTAGCTGCAGAAAGAATAGCCCTAGTCAGAAAGCAGAAAGGTTGGAGCACCTATGTGTCAATGAATTTTACAACGGACAGTCGCTGCATCTTCAAGCCGCAGTAGCAAAGCTTTTCACTATTCGCAAGAATGATCACCATCGTTTCAACTTTATTGTTCGTACTGTGACATCTATTCCCGCTCATTGGTTCAGAACATCTGTTGGTTTGGATAATAAAGGCGCAAATGGTATTTGCAAGGGTTGTTTGATATTGAGACATACATCACAACTTTGGCAGAATTCGGAAATGTCAAGATAAAGCTGTGGCCACCAGTTCGTTGACAGACGGTATGTTCGATTTTGCGTTGACCTGCACAACCAAACTTTCTATGCAATTGGTTAATTATCACCCATTATTTTACTTATGGAACTTGAAGGCGGGGCGATGAGGACTGGTTTCATTGATAGGGAAAGTTATTTGTCAGTCGTAAGGACCTTTGAGTACAAACTCACCAAACATAGAGGATAAATCCTGTATTCCCTCACTCGTTTTTTGTCATGCCCCATGAACTCGGCGTAAGTTATTAGGCTACCCACATCAGTAACCTGCAGTGACGCCAGTTCACATTCACTCCTGAATTAATCCAGGCGATCAAACAGACTTTTGCAGTGAAGGGACGGATACTGCGTTTGTATGTCGAGGTTACGGCTTATACTCACGGGTAAAGTTAAACTCTTTCTTGTCAAAGAAATTCTTGGCCTTCTTGACACCCAAATGTCCGGAGCCTCTACAAGGATTGTCGGCCATGGCATTGTCGAGAGAGGCGCCCAAGGAGATATTGCCGAAAATACTTGAGAAAATGGATGAGAGCAAGCATTTTTCTTATTGTAGTGGAACAGCGTGTTTCACGCTTGCCAGTTTCACGGCTGGTATACTCAGTAATGTGCTCCAGACCATCAAATGCTACTAAGGGAAGGACTAGCCCTATGGTGCTGGAAGTCACATTGGCGTTCGGAACAGGAGTAAGCAGATGGCAGGTTGTTGGGAAACGTAAGGATAGGCGGTGATGCCCCGTCTATCTTTAGCAAAGCAAGTGCTTACTAACATTCTCCAGTGCACACTCCCTTTATCTGTCAACTGATGACGAGGCTCTGGTGAAGCAGAGACCGACCGTCGGTGATAGGATGTCAAATTGCAGAGACTTTGGGCTTCACCACTATGTCGGAGTGTAGCGCATTTAGCAATAAAACAGTTTTTCTCTGGATACGCCTCCATACCGTCAGGTGAGATGCAGTGGCCCAAGATGGTAACCTATTGCTGAAGGAAGGTGCAATCGGAGGGTCTCGACTTCAGTTAATGCATTCACAGGCGTTTAAAGACATCCTTTAAGTCGTTGATGTGATCTCTTGGGCATTTCCTATGAACGTAATGTCGTCATGATAAATCAAGCACTTATGGGAGACCATACCATCACCAACTACCTGTATCAATCGTTGAACTGTGGCGACGGTCTTACAAAATTCTAAGGGCGCAGTCCAGATTCATAGAGTCTAGTAGTTGGTAAACAGACGGTATGAGGACAGAACTTGGGCACCGTAGTAGAATATGGTTCCATTATGGAGAAAATTAATTTTCATAGAGTCCCACAGTGTTATACAATCATTCTTACTGATGACGTTTGGAGCACAAATTATTGCTCATATTCATACCAAGGTACTCACACAACTTTCCGATTGCGTTTGCGTATTTCCATTATCTCTAATCTCTTGATATGATTGGTAGTAATATTCTCTCTACCTCTGGTATTAGTGATAAGTCATTCCTGATGAGCGGGTCGGGTAAAGACTGGATGAACAAAGTGTCAGTAATCAATCTCTTTCTTCACCCACCTATATTACTTTTCACAATTGTAACTCTGCCCCACCATATTGTGTGTGAATGTGGGGTCGACCATTCGACACTTATGTACATTCGACATTCATATGTTCTGACTGTCTGACTACCTGTGATCTACTGGTTTGGCCTTTGAAGCTGACCTCGCAGCCATTGCAAGGTATTTCGTAGGCCACAGCCCTTATGCCACAGAAATTTCAAAATGCAATGCATAATTTGCTGCCATACGGTACTGTGATGCATTCATATGTCGCTGTTTATGGTCAAATTACGCTTTTATTGGTACCTCTATCACCTCTTCTAGTTGACAGAGTGCTTCTGCGATGTCACAGATAGCTTCTCCAAGAGCCGTCATCACCACATATTGTTACCTATGAAGGCTCAGTGAATGTAGGCTGCAATGAGATACTGCAACTTCGCCGACAACTGAACAGAAATGTCTCACTTATATAAAATACATGTCGTGACAAAAACATGATCTACGTGCCACGCTCAATACCGTATTATTTTGAGTTTTTCCTTACTGGAAAATGTAATGTGTTTATATTTATTATATCTATAACAGAGCTGCATTTGTTATGTAAGTGACGTTATCAAGGGGATGCATTGTAATAATATATGCAAGATTTATGTCATCACATTAATAACTAATGTAATCCAATGCAACTGCACCTTAGTTCAGGTGCATTATGCTACCAAAACAGTGTACCTCAGAAAAGATTTTGTTTACAAAAACTCATCTGAAAAGCACAAAAGAAATATAGATTTTGTTCTCGGAAAACGGTTGGTTACACTGTTTGAACAACTTGGAGTTCGTTTTCAAGCGGCTTCAACTAGAAAAAACGTTTACAATTGTCATGATGCCGTCTGAGTTGCTAAACCTGCACTTTGGGTACACCACCTACCGACCCTTTAGTCTGGTCAACAGATTGAGTGGGCCAGGCTACTCTTAACATTACCCTAAGCAGTGAAGGAAGAATATAATCCCTACAGCCGTTGAAGGATGTATTTATTAACGATAGATTAAATCGAACAGAGATATACAATCACACTAAAAACGCAAAGCTGTGCTCTTGTTCCTTGAAAACCTAGTATTCTAGAATCCGACCTGGTGACCACAAACAAACAAACTGATCGCTTAAGATGGAGTGGCTGGGATTCATGTGGACTGACGATGTTTTTCAGTCTCCAAAGAGTTTGACAATAAAGGCTGATAGTGTTATTCATCTTAAATAGTAGGGTATCAGGGGATTTAAATTCTCCGAAATAAGTGAACTTCAATGTGCACTACATCCGACTGGGTGTGGACTAACCATGACTGCAACCATTTTAAACAGGTCTTTTGCATTGCGAATTTGACGATACACAGGCGAAAAGCCAACTTATTCCTCGCGATCGTCAAAGAAATCCTAGTCTCCACTGACACCTATCAGCAATGTCCGATGTTGGGATAACTAATTCGCCGACCTCCACACTCCTCCCACATTTGCGTCCTTGTAGTAGCAAGGAAGCATATTCCTTAGACCCGAGTTTCCACTCCTCCAAGCACTTATATAACTCCATTTGGTTTCAGAGGTACTGAATATTTCCCTTAAATATCCTCTCCGACCAAGAGATGTCATTATCACCATTATATATAATTCCATGGAATGATTGCGCGCCACATCTAGATTTACGTCGGTAATTGCAGACGCATGAAAATACATTCATGGTGCATTTTAGATCTGCTTGGTGCCGCCGATCTGGGTCAGAAATAGTGAACACTTGCTGAAAAGAATTGAAAACGGTTCATCTCATTTCTGGTCATCAGGATGGGTGACATCAGTCAATGATTTGATTCTCACTCCTACTCCGGCAGTGTATACACTTTCCAGTGACATTTCACACTGTAAAATTCGCAATATCTTAAGCCTGTTCCTAACTGTTGCCAGAACGTGTGCACCAGCCACACAATCTTCTGTAATATAGCAGTGACTTGAACTGAGTTCCGCGACAGGATGTTTAGAAGACAATAATACCAGATGTCTATTCCATTCGGCGAAGACGACTTTTTAATCCACCTCCTACACAAAACAAATCATCAAGTACATTTGGATGAAAATTGTGCAATGCCACCTAATTTTTCGTATTCTTGAAATAACGGGTGAAACTGACAATTCAAGTTCCTGTAATAATTAATGGCACAGAGATAAAAATTGGACCTAGCCCCACAGACAAACAGTAATTAAAGCATTCCGAATAATCATGTAATCCAACCGAAACTTAGAAGATTCCATTCAACAAGTGCTACTATATAATGTTTTAAATAAATTCAGCGTAAAAGGTTTTGATCATGGTTAGCAACCGATAAAACGCAGACACGTAATTATCTCAACAAGAGTGGAATGATGAAAAGACAGTCTCAAGCTTCCTTCCTCCTCGTAAGAGTGCTGCTCAACTAGACCACGCATGTCTTTAAATTCAGGATCACACAGCCATTAAAGATTGCAGTGTTTCTTTTCATCTAACAGGTAATAATAACGCCCCTAGGCACCGACTCACCAAGCTATTTCGGTAAGAGACCAGATGCGTAAAATTACTGCGAAGTGATTGATAGGATTTCAGAGTCTTCCATCCTTAATCAAAAATCTGAATTATGACTCTACAAACTGTTACTCTAAACAAACTTCCTTCCTTTTGCCAGCTGCATCCTTCCGAGCTACTGTAGGGTGGTAGATTTATCAACATATTAGAATCTTTGGAAGAACTGTTAGGCAACATAGAGAGTCATGAATCAAGAAATGAAAAGATTAATACGGGTAGTCAGACTTATGTTGCCTGTTGAACTTTGATTAATAATAGTAATAATAAGATATTCTCATTTTTGTACATGAGGGACGCCAGTTTACAGACATCATAAATATGATAAATTACATATACGATTAGTAAGCATATGTAGTAATGATAATATAATAAGTTACATATTTGTTCCTACCTATGTAGGATACACCAGTTGTACAAGTTGGATAAGTATTATTTAAATTACATAAATTTGGTTAACGGTTAAATTACATGGTTGCTGCCGTTTATTGACTTTGGTTTGAAATTGATTTCCAGTGAGATTGGACATAAGGCTTCGACGAACTTTTCTGAGGAAAAAGAAGAAGCGAAGGCCTGAAAACACAGATTTAATTGTGATAGGAGAATGAATGCGTTTGTCGAATCTAACCTGTGTTCCATAATTGAGCAATGAATATCTCCAGAGGCAATTCAAAAGTTTCGATGCGGGGTTTTCATTGGTGATTGGTGGGGTTTCCTGCAAAATGAGGGAGTCAGGTAGGCGAAAAATAAGAAATCGGATCTTCTTTTTGTGCTTTCTTCATGTGTAGTTTTCAGATTCCAAAAATGTTAAGGCGCATCTAATCGCTACCTTTTTAGAATTCACGCTACTCATAAGCTTTATTTAATGGAAGTTGGAATTATACATTAGTTCGAAATCTCGACGTGAATATTAACTCAAATAAGCTCTACTATTTTAGCAGTGTTCTCTTCACTGTTTGGCACTGCAAGTGGTCGTAACGAACCTACCCATTAGGACAAAAATAGCTACTTTTCACCTAGAATGGTTAAACAACGGTTTGAATGGGCTCGAATATGAGAGAGTGATAGGAATAGTAACATAAATGAAAAATTCTCGTTTAAAAATGGTTTAAATGGGGAAATATGGGTTTAATTTCGGTAAAATATTGGTTAAGTCATGGGATAATATTGATTTAACAGCTTGAAGATATTACAGTTTACAATTTATGTAGGATAGTAGGCTATATACCTGTGTTAATTCTTTCGATTTGTCGCACTCAGGAGGTCCACTCTCGCCTTGGTGCTGATACGACGTGTTCCGGTAGGGAGTTCCAATGGTTCACAATTCGATGCGAAAAACGGATCTCCAGACGCAGACGATTCGACTGTGGTTTTTGAACCTTAAGGTGATGTCCTCGCAATTGGTTGGTGCTAGAAAGAAGAAATAAATTAGACAAATTAGCTCCAAAATCATTTCTCAGGATACGGTATGCTAGTATTAGATCACCCCTAAGTCGTCTGTATGACAGTGGAGATAAACCCAGTCGACTTAACCTCTCCTCATATGAGAGAGTTGAGAAACCCTTTATTAGCTTAGTTCCTACTCTTTGCACCCTTTCTAATAAGTCTATTTCGTATTTGAAACCCGGTCTCGCTGCCTGGATCCCATATTCCAAATGAGGTCTGATGTAAGTCGGATATAATATACGAAATATATCAGCCTCAAAGTTCGCAAAAGCCTTGCGTATGGCCCATGATATTCGAAAACCCCTACAGCTTGTTGCTGTTTTCAAGTCATTCTGCACAACCACTCCCAAGTCCTTGTACTCAGTGAACACTGGGAGAGTAATGCCATTCATTGAGTAATTGTGCACGTGACTATGAGATACATGCATAACTACACTCTTGCTTAGGTTAATCTCCAAGGCCCAGTGCTTACACCAATAACTTAACAAGTTTAAATCTTCCTGCAAAGCAAGTTGATCACTGTCATCGTGTAAAGCCCTCCATATATTGATGTCATCAGCAAACAGTAAGCAGGATGACTTAACTACCGATGGAATCTCATTAACATAAATCAGGAAAAGAAGTGGGCCTAGGGTTGTACCCTGAGGAACGCCACTCTTAACCGATTCCCATATTGGTAAAATCCCGTTAAGTTGTACTCTTTGTTTTCTATCCTTTAGAAAGTCTTGAATCCAGTCAGTAACCACTTTATTGATTCCCATACTACCTAACTTTACTAGAAGACCTGAATGAGAAACCCTGTCAAACGCCTTGCTTAGGTCGATGAATACGGCATCCACCGGTATATTAGCGTCAGCTGAGCTTGCCCAACTTTCTCTGGCCAAACGAAGGTTGGTCAAGCAACAATGACCTGCTCTAAAACCATGCTGTTCCACAGAGAAAAGTTTGTTCCCTTCACTGAACTGAATAATAGCATCACGAATTATTCTTTCTAGTAGTTTAACAACGATACTGGTCAAACTAACAGGACGATAGTTCTGAACTAAGTTTCTAGATCCGGTTTTGAAGACCGGACTAGTGATGGCATCTTTCCAGTCTCTTGGACATTTAGACTGGGCCAGAGACATATTGAAGATTACCGACAATGGCTCGGCTATGTTTTCAGCCAATGCTGTTAATATACGTGGGTGGAGTTCATCAGGGCCACTGGACTTACCAGGATTGAGCCTTAGAAGCCACTTTAGGACAGTATCCTTTCCAATGTATAAGGGTGACATTTTCAAGTTACCTTCTGGAAAAGTTGCAAAGCTGGTATCAATATTATCAGAGAATACTTGACTAAAGTGCTTGGACAAAGCCTCAGCCTTAGTCAAGTTGTCCTCAGTCATGTTTGTTTGGTCATCTTCAAGCATAAGAGGTGGGATAGCATCACTTACGTGTTCTTCTCTTGATATATGAGAAGATTCCTTTTGGGCAGCCTGGTGAACTTTTAACTAACTGGGTTTTGTAAGCTATCCTTGACTGGTGATAATATTGGCTTAATAATTTTCAAATTGGTAGAAATTATGTCATGTGACAGTAATCCGCCTATTACTCAACCATTTTTATTCGATTGGTTACTGCCACGTTCTCAGCTTTGTTGATATTCATGCGGTAAATACATATATTAATTTTTTAAGTTTCATTTTAGTGCTTAGGTGTAGTTTATATGCAGACAGTCTGTGTTAATGCTCTATCAAAAATTTATTCAACGCCCTTTAGATGTTCAGTGTAACTGAAAGGAAAGGGGAACACGAGATAAATGTTTTTAAAGCTTTAAGATGGGTAAATTTTTGAGGACGTTGAGTGTAACAACAGTGATGTAATCAGTACTGACCCATTAGGAGGAAATATTAAACCCCCGAGAGTACATGTCTAGATCTTATTTTGTTTTAGCGTTTTCACTCTGTATATCGCAGTTTACTCTAGTGAAGAGTTATGTTTGAGTACTGTTATGAAGTTTTGTTACATCCAGGGTGTATATACTCTACAATTGCAGACAAAAGTAGCGACAGACGTTTAATGTTCCATGCACACGTCTCTGCCATTCAAACATACGTTGCTGATAAATACACTTCTAATGACAAAACTGAAAAGCGTGAAGCAGCTTGCGGTACAAATTTACCACAGTGGGATTTGGTGTGATGAACTTCACCAGTGTCGTAAAATTTTAAGTTGACTGGCATCGTAAGTATTGATATATGACAAATGATTCATTTATACACAATATGTATGTGATCTTAACACGTAACACTGTTCAAAGTGTTGTGTCTTGTTTCTATTTATTTGCATATTTACTAAATTTGTTGTTTACATTTCGCTCCTTTTAGATGTTAACATAGAGAATGTTAGTTTCCCGTCTCTGTATAATAACCAGTTTGGATTACTTTTCGGTCGTTCAGAGTGAGTTTCCTGGTTGGAATTTCCTTAAGAATTTGTTATTTGATGTTTACGTAAATTAGATTGATCGAACGAGAAAACGTGTGCAGAAACTTAAGCATATTAGAGTAGACCCGAAAAAATAGGTAAATAGGAGTGTACCGGTTCTTATACCTAAATGGAGGCTTTTTTTCGTCGTTCATACAAATGACGGCACTTCTTAGAGTTACATCTATTGTATGAACTCATGTGTAGCCTTGGAGACGTGGATTTATCTCAGTTTTGCATTATGTACTCCTCTCCATATTTTAACTATTGTTAGTAGCGTTAGGCTTTTGAGTTTTCAAATACTGTTTGTTGATTATTTTTGTTTGTATAATTTTCCGAATTCATATTAATTTGCACATACTTTTAACTTTAGATATATTGATTTAAAGTTCGCCGAAATGCTTTCATTGTTTAATATATGCTCAAGCTCCCCTTAGAAAAGTCGTTGGAATCGTTTCTGCTAAAATTTTTGTTATTCATCTCACAGTCAGATGGAGCTAATTTTACCTTCTCAGTCATTCCATCATAGTTTACTGGTGTACGTAATTACCGTTTCCATGACTCAGTTTTCCGGTTGTTTGCTGCGTTTGAGCTAAACTTCTATGTATTATTAGTTGAATTGAATAAAATAGGCTATTAACCTGTGTGCAGTCTCAGTGTTTGGGTAAGAAAGATAGTTTCTTCCCTCTAATCTGTCGTTTTCCTTTTTCTGACAAGTATTTTCAAACCATGTGCTGCATGAGCTGTTCAGGTGTGTAGACTGACTAACCGGCTTATATAATAATCTAGTCAATATAGGACCTGGAATTATTGCACAGTGTGCATGGTGGTTTAATTTGTCACATCATATCTGTACATCAAGAAGAATGTAATAATAGGGAGAACAAAATAAGTGACACAGTCATAAGTATGAAGTATGGTGAAGCGAAAGGAAATATAGAAAAAAATGAACGGTTATCGATATTAAGGTAAAGCCATGCTACTGCAATAAATTCGAATGTTTCCTCACACTTTAATCATTAGTGCCAATAGTCATGTGAAGTTCAAGTAGGGCTCTCACCTATCCTCCAGGTATTGGTTCATGAAATGTATTCAATACTACAAATACGTGAACTCTCAGGAGGTCCTCTACTCTTAAAGTCCATGTTTCGCGACCATGAAGTGAAATAAAAAGCATTCCTACTCAGGTTATTCAGCTCTTAAGAGGATGTGGGATATATTGCATAAGAAATAAGCCTGGCAATTTGACAAGCACTACACGTGGTGATATTTTTTATTCGTTATCAACCCACCATTGTTAATGTGATTTCTCAGGTAGGTGAAATAGTTGATACATTCATTCACTTCTATAGTCAGATGAAGTGTCAATACACTAGTTCTAAAGCACCAGTTTACTTTCATCCAAATCATTCTTAAATTGTTATTTGAAGTGTTGAGAAACTGAACCTCAGTGTCTTCGACCAGTAGGACAATACCGCATGCTCTCTCAAAGTCAAGGTATCTTTAGTGAGGATGTTAGTCCTTATAAATGTTGGCGTGAACTGAAGTGGAATTTCAGCGTAGAACTTTTCATTAATATTTAACAGTTCAGGTTGATGCATTTCATAAACACAAAGGTAGTAAAGAAAGAAAGTAAGATAAACGGAAATGCGTTGGAGAAACAATAACTATATAGGGAATAATAATAAAAGCATAATAGATCTAGTTGACAAACAGTCAATGCATCTGCACCACTAAAATCTATTTTGAGCCTTGTTATCAACAGTTTCCACCCATTGGTTCTTAGCGTCTCGAAGACTTCAACTAAATAGTCTATATCTCCCTACGTGGCTCAAACTATCAGTGAGCGATTTCATGGATTGATGGCATGTTTTAGTGGTCTTTATCTACTTCGTAAGGATAGATATAAAAATAATGACCTCCTTCAGTACGTCTGTATAAAGTGAAATAAAGATGGAGAAAATGAATTTTTATAACGAATACCACGTGTTTTTATCTTATGAGATGCCTAACTACAGGCTGTAACGCAACTACAGGTTTTTAATTAAATAAAACAACCTTCTTTAAACGAATTCAAATGCTATCTTCAGATCAGGAAGTGCAACTACCGACAGACGCCTATGCGTGTGCCTATGTTCCAGTATCAGACGGAAGGTGGATATCTGGCAGATACATCTACTGACGTCTGAGTAAGTGGTTATTACTGCTCGTCCACATATTGAACAAGACTACTTTTATACGTGTTTTAATTTTGACCTTTCTCGATTCCGAATGACTGATTTGCACTTTTATTACATTTCTTGAAAGTATTAATTTAGCAGCTTCTACGTCTGTGATAGAAGGACTTCCTGACGAACAAAGAACATCTCCCGTTCGACGTACATTCTTATTTGTTGTCGCCTTCGATGTTATTTCCAGTTTTATTTTGTGGATCATATATACTAAGGTAAGGGCTAAGTAAACCTAAATAATGGTGCTTAAAGAGCTTGAATTCTTGAGAAAATGGACTTATTCTTCATTTAATCACCCTATTTTTAGGCATTTTGTATTTGTGAAGATTTGATTGATTTCAAAGTAGATTTCATCATCTGCTTCCGGGATCCCCCAAGTTGTGCGCACGTACAGATACTCGCAACACCGCCTAGTACATTAGTTTGCTATCCGACAGTAAGTGCGGGAAAAGAGGCAAGTTTGGACTTGGGGCTAGCGATCCTACCCTGGAAAATCAACCCACTAGCTACCGAAACTTCAAAGGCCAACAAAAGTTTCAAAAATAAGTTTATTCTTTTCTGGAACCGTAGTGACAGATTGACACAGGTTGGTAAAAGCCTTCGGGAAGCTAGTCGGCTTTTATGTCTTTCGCTGAAAACAAAAATAAAGATGAGGACGTGGAATGTTTTTACAATATACGAAACTGAGAAGGTTGCCAAAGATTTGAGAAAATATGGCGTGGAAGTGCTACGTATCTGTGATAGCAGGTGGAATGGTTGTGGACTCTCCAAAATGTCAACTAGAGAGTTGATAATATACTCCGGTCACCCAGAATACAACCAGGAGCACACAAAAGGATTGGCTGTCATAATGTCACTAGCAGTAACCACTAGGAACCAATATCCTCCAGGATTATGACAATAGGATTCAACTCAAAAGGGAGGAAAGTTACAATTATCTAGTGTTACGTGCCTACAGACAACTCAGAACAAGAGAAAGAGTAGGATTTCTCTAGACGACTGCAAACAATAATGGACAGCATCCCAAATGGAGACATCAAAATCCTAATATGTGATATAAATGCAAGCCAAACTGGGAGCAGACAATGTAGAAAGCGAACTCATCATGGGTCGAGAAGAACTTGGCGACATGAATGATAACTGAGAACCCTCCTCAGACTTCTGCGCCTTCAACTATGTGGCGACTGGAGGTAGCATGTACAAGCACAAGGATATACACAAAGTAACATGAATTCACCTGATGGACACACCAAAAACCAGATAGATTTCATCTCAATTCTGCTCAAGAAAGTGGAGACGCAGCCAGTTGGACACAAAGTCGACAAGGAAAGCAGATGTGGGCTCAGACCATTATCTAGTGCAAGCAACCTTCAAAGACAAGTTGAAAGCCTTCAAAGCAACTGTACATTGACCACAATTCAAGTTCAACATTCATATATTGAGGGACAAAACCACAAAGAACACCTTCACTAGAGCCATCACAGACATTATGTAGCATTATTGAGGAAACCTATGTGGAAGAATACTGGATATTTATGGAAGTGATGTTCAAGGAGATGTGTACAGGCGCTTTAGGGAGGAAGAGAAGGCAACACAAGGAATGGCTCTCCATGGACACCTAGAAGCTAATAGAGGAAAGGGTGATGGTGAAACAGATGAGCCAATGCAAAGATGGACAACGAAAGTAGAAGCTGAGTTCAATGTACATCTCACTGAATGAAGAGGTCAAGAAGAGTACTAAGAAAGACGAAGGACAATGCTACGACACGCTGGCAACTGAAGCGGAATAGGCCGCAGGTAAAAGCGACCTCAGAACATTATGTCAGGTAACCAGGTTGTGATTCGAGGAGAGATCAACACAGATGTAACCTACAGAAGTCAGTGAAGGCAACCTTATTACCAAGTGGGGAGGACGGGTAAAACAATGAGCTTATCACTTGAAAGGACTCTTAAACCGACCATCACCTGCAACTCATCCAGAAATACCACCAAAGCACGTACAGAACTGTCACTGGACACCGATCCTCCATTGAAAGCGGTAACCTTCATTGCAATGAAGCTGCAGCAAGACAGACGGAAAGGCAGCAGGACCAGATGAAATTCTCCTCGAAGCACTGAAAACGGACCGAGAGACCGAGGCAGATATGCTGACGCCATTATTGCAAATGGTTTGGAAGGAAGGAAAGGTGCCTACTGATTGGAAGAAAGGCTACCTGGTCAAGCCACCAAAGACGGGCGACTTAGGCGTCTGCAAGAACTGGAGTAGAATAATTCTCTGGTCTACGCAGGGTAAAATACTAAGTCGCATCACCCTGCAGAGGATAAAAGACCCACTTGTGTTTACTGCTCAGCAGTATTCTCCGTCCTCCTTTATGACTGTGAGATCTGGCCATTAATGGTGGAAGACATGGAAGGGCCAGCTAGCTGTCTTCGATCATAAGTGTCTGCGTTCTCTCTCTCGTGTGAAGTGGTACAATAAGGTGAGCAATATTGAGTCGGTCGATTGCTAGGTAAGGAGGAGTGATCAATAGACGAGGCCGTGAAGTTACATCGATTGAGATGGTTAGAACATGTTTTAAGTATGCCAGACATCGCCTTCCTCGACTGACAGGCAATGTTAGCTGACATAGGATGGATCAGGTTGGGAAAGAGCCAGTGGTGGTCAAACCAAAACGTGGCTTCATCAGCCAATGAAATCCACAACAGTTAGTTTAAGCCAGCCACGTAGGAAGGTGTAGACTTCCTGACCGGTAGGGGTCCTCAGGATGCCAAAAACCAATGAATGCTGGAGACAATTAGTGATATGGCTCAAAATCGGTCTTAATAGCTGCTACAGAAGCATCCACTCCTTGTGACTTATAATCCCCAATAAAACTATATAGTTCTTCGATATTGCCATTCTTTTTACTTTCTTCTCTTCCTTTGTGTGCTACATGGAGTGTGGTGACCCGAACTGCTGCACATCGGTGCAAAGTTCTATGTTGGAACCAGTCAGTGAGCGTTGATCGAGAAGTAATTTGGAATTCACTACGAAATTATGGAGTGCAGTGCCTCAAATATTTATCGACCTCATTTAACAGGCATATGACAATTGCACATGTCAGTTGATCCACAGCGGAAATTGCAGTGAAGTTTTCGAAGTGAATACAGGAGTAAGACAAGGGTGTCTGCCGTTACGTTGATATTCCTAACTGTGGTGGACTGGATTATGCGGAAGACTGTGGGGAGCAAGAAGACAGGAATACGTTGCACCGATGAGAAGACTTTAGAAGATCATCATAAACCGTCAATTTCCAACTGTATGGCTGAATTGTAAACATGTTCGTCTCATAAACTAAAGGTTTTTGTATGCGTCTCTGTTAGGATCGTCGGTGCCCACTTCTGAGGTGTCGTAAAATATCATGAAACAGTCACAAAGTGTTCTTTGATTTTCATTATTTTTTCACGGATAAATCAATATTGTTCTAATGTAAGTTGATAATCACTCCTTTAATTATTGGAGTAAAACTGTTGACGTCTATATGGGTTATGGTTGAAACTGTTCGCTCCACTATGTTTCTAAAGTTATGGCATTCTAAATTCATTTCAAAATCGCTTCGATGATCTATTCTTGACAGTACAATAGAAAGAGACGGACAGGAATCATAAAACCTAGTACGATTGGATAGTGTTCCAATCGGCCACATATCGCATCTGTGCATCACATAAAAGGCAGTAGAAAAGTAAGGTACATACAAGAATATTATCTTTGTCAGTGAAAAGTTTGTGCACTGTGGAACAGATTAAGTAACTACAATTATATTTCGACAGTTTAGACACATTTATAGTATCGTCGATACTTTAGGGCAAATTATTAGATAACGGATTATAGTATTACAGTTAGGGGAAAGATAACGTGTAAATGCATTTGCACCACTGAGTTATACCACTTAGGCTGTGTAACACAGATTTCGTCAGTCGCATAATCCTCAGTAAAGCATTTTCCTATATCACTCACCTAAAGTTACTGACTACACGGATTTGACCTAATTAACATGCTCTGTTTTTCGACGTAATCTTAATTACATTAGTGTGGCACATTGTGGTGCAGCCCACACGTAACACATAATCTAACCTCTGTAGGTATACGACTTCCAAGACCGGGTTGACTGTCCTACCCAGGACCTTACGTTTAAGTTTTACACTTCCCATACGCGAATGATCCTTATCCCATTTGTTTGAATATTCCAAGCACAACAGTACACTCAACCATTACTGTGTGATCGTATAATAAGTTTACTGTAATTTTCTGTGATTTAAACATTTAATTCTTCCTATCGACAGGCAACAAAAGTTAATAAAAGAGGATTTAATGAATCCATCAAATCTCGGTAGAACTCTTCAGCTGGATACTATACACATAGGGATAATGAAGCATTCGCCAAGGTGGTTGGAAACAGCTGAAGTGAAATTGCCTAAAAGTTCAATAACAAAGAATCTTGTGGACTACGGGTGTGATATTTACGTTATCAAGTCAATCCTTGTTGTAAGAAGACAAAGAAACAAGAAGATGCTAGCAACTGCGGAGGCTTATGCAATTAGACTTTATAAACCAGGTCTCTGTGTACAAAATGAAATGGTAGCCACTCTGTCATTATTATTATTATTATTAATATTTTATTCTGCCTCTTATTTCTGATTCACTTAAAACTAGCTTTTATCATTGCCATTATCTTAACTCGTATTAACATTATTATCACTGATTAGTATTATTATTATTGTCACTACTATTAGCATCACTATTATTCTCAGCGTTATTTAGTTTGAAATTCTTGATATCTTATCAGTTTTATAAGTTCCAATGTAATTCTAATGTTATATATATCCCTCTATGTAGAGTATCAAACTGAAGAGTTCACTTGAAATCTGATGAATTCATTAAATCCTGCCTTATTAACTTTTGCTGATTGTTTTAAATTCGTATCGGGAAATAAAAGTTTCACACTTCCTATTAACCTTGACTTGCATTTTCTTTTTGACGAGTTAATTGGGTTTTGTTTTTGTACTACAGGCAACTTACTCCGGTGATATTGGTCCTGCTCTGTGGGAAGAAATCAAAGGATATTCCTTCTCTAAATCTCTTTTTGATACTGTGGTAAGTATTGTACATAAAAAAAATTTGATTTCATAAAATCACTGAAGAGAGGTTAAAATTTAAATCTACACTGCATATTCTGTTTCATTATTGTGAATAGTTTTCAGGTATTTTGAAGTGAAATTTACAGACGAGGGCAATCACTTGTGTCTTAGCTATGTTCTCTTCATAATTGTATTTTTTATAAACTGTTTATAGGGTATATAATGTCATTTTCACGCAAAACGTATATTGTACAATAGTTTGTTTCATAGTATGCTATTTCATAATGACCTTCACCTGTATGATTGATTGTACGACTAGTGAAAACGACTGATGCAAAACAATGTTCGGAGTTTATTTTGTATTGAAATAAAGTGAAATGCAGACTAGATACCTTTTTATCATTATTATTAGTGTTGTTGTTGTTAGTATAGTGGTTTGTATTATGTCGAATCTTCCTGTGAGTGCATATTAACATTTTCATGTTGGTATAACATTGTTTTGTCTATTTCGCAATTAATTGTATTGATCCGTAAAATATGACAAACTTGGAAGCCTGAATTAAATACTGTTTAAGCGTCCAGTTAGCTCAGTTTGTAGAGTATCAGACTTTTAGTGTTTCGATGGTTCCGCGGTAGAACGCTCGCCGAACACGCATGTGGTTCGGCGTTCGATCTCCGGATGACTGACGCTTATACCTCGCTGAGTCGGTAATAAGACCGATGAAGAGGAAAGGTGGAGCGTAAGACTAACACCCACCCCGTGAAGTCAGCACCACTGACACCGAAACTTCAAAGCTTTAGCATGAAGCCCTAGGTTCCACTCGGAATGCAAAGGAATAAAATAATATTGTTCCCAGTTTGCGCTACTGTTCAATGATAAATGGTACATTAGACCTTTGCTATTCTCCATTTTAAATCAATGACCTAATGTCTGCTGCTTAATATCTCATCAGTTTTGCAACATTGTTAATTTTTATGCACGGTAATCTTTTGGAAACAGGAGTTTTCGTATCTTTCTGTTTTTATTACAATTAATCTGTTGACTTTATAATGGAAGTATTTATCTATGTATTATCCAAAGTTTGCAGAGCTGAAAGACATACTATAAATTCTTTGCAGTCATAGGCCTAAAGACTGATTGAGTGAGTTTCAACACAGAACTGTGCACAGAAGTGCACCACTTCAAGTTGTCACACTCATACACACACACACACACACACAAAGGTAGACAAAAGCGAAGGGAAAGAGATTTAAAATTACCATAACAAGCAGAAATGTGAAGGAAAAAGAATAGTAACACGAGAAATCATGATGCTTTAGTAGATGTGGGCGATCCCGACGACCCCGACTAGAGGTAGCCTGCATGGTTTGCATCATCTGTCAAAGACTTCATTAACTGTGAACAGGCTTTGGTTTCACCACTCCTAACTCTTCTCCAGCCAAGTCAGCTAGCATTATCTGTCGAGGAAGGCGACGGCCCAAAGTTAGTAATGTGTTTGACAAATTACTGGTAAAACTTATTTAAGTAAACTTCTTATCTTAGTTCAACTAAAAACCATCTGCCACTCCCGTTTTGTTCTAGAATTATCCACCCACACACGTTTCTGTTTATGGAATCTTCGTTAAAGTCTATTTTATGCTCAGAAAGAACTGTATAGGTTAGGAGTTTTCAGTAGATGCTTCATAAATTTTCTGATGTTACTTTTACTCGCTGGATGTATTTACTGTTTTTACAATGTGAATGCAAATCCAACTTCCATGATATAATGTCAAAGGAATTAAATAACTATACTTTACCAACTAATGATGTATACATAAATGTTGTTTTTTTAAAAAAAAAATACTTCTAATATTATGATATTCATTTGACTGCAGTCGCTTAAACTATCTTATAAATGACAAAAGGATGGTGATATACCAGGTTTCTCTTGTTGCATGACTAATTCAATTTTAACACATGCCGCAGAAAGTGTATCAATGCGATTCGAAAAATTAAATTACAATAGTATTGGGAAATTCTATAAACCCTCTGTAGCATCTAGCTATCATGTGCTCATCTAAGTCTTAAGTGGAATGTTTTTATATAGAAATGATTAGGGTGGAATATAAAATAAATTGAAAAAATATGTCGAGAGAGAGAGAGAGTAATAAACTCACTTCTGTAAATCAACAGTTGAAAAAATGAAAAGAATCCGCTAACAGACTAATACACAGTGAATAACATGTGACTGTCAATAATCAAGTGCTACGGTTATGTAGAAAAAGTAATGGATTCATGTGTCTGTGTGAATATCTTCCACCCCTTGGATCCCGGTAATTCCAACTGATAAGTCCAAAATATGACAAAAAACGAGCTTTTAACTACCAGTAGATTCATAAATAACACTATGCGTATAATTCTATCACACAGTGAAGCAGTATTATTCACTGGATGACGTTTCAAACGCTATTCATTGTTCATAACTATATCGAATGTAACTTCGTATGGGCATTAATTCCCCTGATATCCAGGATAGATGCTGAAGCATCCTTCCTATTACATATGGTTCCAGTTCGATTCGATCGACAAAAGCTTCTGTTATCAATCTGTCTCTTCACTGTGCTATGTTTAATTTTACGACTGTCAATTCGTTAAAACACAAAATAATTGAGCAAAGAATATCCTTTTCGATAAATTCCTCTTCTGGCTCTACAATAATTATATATACATGAATATTCTAATTAGTAGTCAATAAAATATAATATATATAATTGTAGAGCCAGAAGAGGAATTTATCGAAAAGGATATTCTTTGCTCAATTATTTTGTGTTTTATAGATGTCTGAATGAATATTTTTGCTATATGTCAATTCGTTGTATTAAAAAATTTTTTTATTAGAGCTTGATTCCACACAGTATTTTTGGTACAACTATGGAATTTTCAGCATGTGATACCGGTAGCCCAAATTTAGCAGGCTAACCATTGATATCAGGTGTGCGTCGGCCGGGGTTTGAACCCCGGACCATGTGCATGACCGGCGAGCGTCCTAACCGTTGTGCCACCGACGCAGTCGTAGTTGTATGTGACAGTTTGTATTGTAGGTGAACTGTTTTCTGGATTTCTTATTTAGTCTAGTCTAAATTTCACAATTTAATTCACACTCTAGTCTACTACTTTGACCTTAGGTCGGTGGTTCGAATCCTCCTCGCCGGACCAGCCTCCAAAGCCTCAGGATGGTCGGGGGTGGGTGCCTTGCGCTGCGGGTTGGCCACCCCTCCGCATACCTCTTGAAATGCGCCCATATGACCAGGCGTCTTACATAGCCTCTCCTGAGGAAGTCCTACTCACTGCCTTCACGTGGCGGAGGTGTTTTTCACCAAAGTGAGAGGGCGAAAGCGGATGCCCGGCGCTCTTCACCGGGTTGACTGTCCATTGGATGACAGTCTAGGGGAGATGGCTAAACCCTGATTCCAAACCTCCAACGACTGGAGCTCACCGGCAGACGAATGGACAAAGGGCTTGTTGGATGTCCTGGATGTCTGGCCCCATTCAAAAAGGTGTATGAACCGAACTCCGGTCACCGGCTGCCAATGGATAGTGGACTCCCTCCTCCACTCCTACTGCCTTGTAGGTCACACTTGGTTGTGTAAAGGCTAGAGCTGCACTCTCGAACAAAAGGCCGAGCGATTCTGGGGACATCACTCGTACCAAATTCCCATGAAACTTCGTGAACTCTCTTCATCAGATCGCCGCGCCTGGGCAGCGATGATTCGAGATGTTCATGAAGCCGGCTCATCCTTCCGTAGGAGAAAGCCGAAGTAAAGTAGGTAAGTACTACTTTGACCTTATTCAGTACACAGGATATTAGGTAAACTAAGTTATTTTGTCTAGTGGGTTCCATAGGATTCTAACCCTCAATCTGTGTATAAGTTATTTTTCCTGGGTTTGAATGCTACTCATCCCTGTCTATTTTCAGAGATTCCTTTGTATGGTAGCTGTCGTCTTCATATATACATTCAAGATTTATGTCACCCTTATTGGTGGTTTTATTTTTAATTTTGATAATCTATAAGCTTCCGGATAAATTTATCACATCTCAACTCGTAAGCGAATTGGATTACATCTACCATTGAGTTTGTGTTCGAGAAAGTCGAGTACGTCCTTGTTTTTTAATACCGTGAATGTGTTGTGTACATACACCTCCACTATACTTTGCGGGTGATGCTGAACGTCTCAAGCACTATCTTCACTGCTACTTATACAACTAATAAAAAAGAACCAAAACCATAAAAATTAAGTTTTGGAGTCGGGGAGTTAAATCTGATATGGTTATTCGCAATAAATCCTGTTGGAAACATCATCTAGTGAACGTAATACTGTTTCACTTTGCTGTGTGTATTAAACAAACTTGGAATTACGTACTACTACAGTATCCAAATTCTAGTAATTATGAGAGGGACGAAGTCGTCATATACTAACTCCTCTCTCTGTAGTAAACATTTTGTGGGTATATACTGGCATTCATGGCTAGTCTGGCTGGATAGGAAAACAGAGGGGTCGTCTGTAGCAGTTACGTCCTACCTGATTTTAACATTAGCTGTCTGGTGTTTTCTTCTCACTACTTAAAAATGAAAATGTGGCATATTTATCAGTGACTTCCTGTGACTTCAGATGGATTGGAGGAATTTGAAATTATCGAAAAAAGATTTCACTGTAGCTTTTCTAATCATTTACTAAATTTCTACAGACTACAATTCCTCGAAACACGTGTGCATGCAATTATTTGCACTTTATTGGAACGCTCGAAATTTGTAAAATCATCCAGTTTTTTCAGTTTTCTTATCATTGCATGTTTTACAGTAGTATACTTATTTAACAGGTCCTCATCAAGATCTGGTTCGCTTTATGTCATATGAGTACAATTTGAAAAGTGTGCTCTACTCTAAATTCTGTCAGAAGTGACATGTTATCGTCCCTCCTAGATTACTGATTGCTTTGAGATTTGGTCATGAGCTACACTATTTTGGTAATCATTT